GTATCATTTTCGACTCATCCAAATTGCCCATAAATGAATACCATTTATTCAGAGACGGTATTAAATGACTAGGCTCTGTGGCCAGCGTGTTCAGTGGGAGCCCGGGCGTCACGCAGCTCTGACCATCACTGCCACTGTCACAGAGGGTTACTTCGCCGCGCGCGCTCCCCGGTCTGCTACCCCATGAATATCCATCTGTCGGTGACACATGTTCCGATGCGGAGATATTTTTCATGCAGTGTTTTATTCTATAAATTTTGCATGTGACCTACTTTCCACTCAAACGATGTAGCATAAATGATTTTCTAAAGTACTGTAGAAAACACATTATATTGCATACCTCACTCTCATTCCTAAATCCAACTAAAGTTGATGAATGTCATTTTATGAAAATATTTTCTCGTTTTAATAAGAAATTAATTTATTGAAGTAATGACGCACTTGATATCATACAAATTGTTTGACCAGATCATCAAACAGGAAATGAAACTGAACCTACAAAATAATTTTTAATCATTGAAATATACGCGTCAGTCATTCCATCTGATGGTTGTACACCTAGATGCAACGGGAACCAGCTGAAACTGCGAAGGCAACGCTTTCGGTGGTTAAAGAGATCATCATAATTTCCATCAATTCGTTTGGGTTCACGTTTAGAAAGGTTACTCTCAGAGAAAACTACTGACGTCTGACTTTTTGAGAGAAGATATTTCGTTATTGTTTTCTCTTTTAAAATCACATATCGATTATACACAGACGGGGAAGCGAATCGACAAGCAAATTCATATGTGGAGGTTCTTTACCATTATCATGATTTTTAAAGTTACTAAAGAATAAAATATAGTCGTTGGGAAAACCTAAAATTAAAATAACATTTAAAACAGTTTCAAACTGAAACCGGAAAGAGAATGGAAATGTTTTGTTATAAAAAACCAATAAATAATATTTTATTGGAATGAAACGAAACAGGGATGTTTTTTGACAATATTATTTATCTTGGTTCGTTTCTTTTCATTCATTTTCAACAGAGTATAGAGCTCATTATTGGTAATGAAATATTGCATTGAAACCGTTTTCTTTTCATTTACTATTAATTTGTAATAACGTGACCAATTTGAAATATCTGATATTGTACTATTTACAGTTTCTTTATTGCCAATAATATTCAAATCGTTCGCAAAGAGGAAATTACTGAATTGAATTAATTACTTCAAATTCACATAACAACACGTTTCCCATTCTGAATGAAATTTATTTAATGCCTTCATCAGAATAGAGAACATTTTGTTCCATTATTTTGATCCGAGAATTTTTTTCAGTTTAAAAAGAAATATACGTTGGTTTTTAAAAATTTTGTGGATAGTAATGTTGTTCATTTCCTTATCTGGAATTCTATTGAACACGACTCTTTGATAATGTGTAAGTGTGAATACGTACACAGAAGGAGAGGACAAGGAGGAGGAAGGAATGGTCTCACGCGGTTGACGGTCCATTTGATACGGAAGCACTGTTCCGGCATTCGCCTGGCATTTATGTGAGAAATCGCGAAGGGAGCAGCCGGGCACTAGAAATATTCCAGAGGCAGGGGCTGAGCATGAGCTAGGTCTCTCCGTGGTTTCGAGCGTTCACCGCTGCCAGTGGAGAGGAGGAGCAGCGCATAGGGGACCTGCGTGAGGCCCTTGTGGGGTGCCGCGCCGTCCTCCGCCTGAGCCTCTGCCACCTGCGTCGGCCGGCGGCTCCAATTGCGGCGCACAGCTCCAAATGGGCTGCAAAGTGGGTCAAGGCTTCTCACCCCTCGCTGGCTGATCTCCGCTTCGCGCAGTCCGGACCTCCCCTCCCCCGCGCCAAATGAAAGTATGACCCTCACCCTCCAACCCTCCTATACGATTCTTCGCTGTGCTACCGCGACCTCCCCTCAGCACTCCTCGACCCTCCTCTCTCTTCTCACCCCGCCACTTCCTCTCCACCCCACCCACCTTATCCTCCCCCGCGCCAAATGAAAGTATGGCCCCCACCCTCCAACCCTCTGATGTGATTCTTCGCTACACCCCCACGACCTCTCCTCCACACTCCTCGACCCTCCTCTCTTCTCAGCCGTCCACTTCCTCCCCTTCCCCTATACCCACCTTACCTCCTCGTGCTAAATGTAAATATGTTGCCACCCCGCCAGTTCCGCGCTTGGATTCTTCACCGCGTCTCCTCACCGTCTCTCGCTTCTCGGGTCTCTTCACACCCTGGATCGCCGCCTGCTTCCTGTCGGACCGTCCTGTCTTCCTACCGCCACGTTCTCGCTACCGAAGATCCTTTGGATTGTCTTCGTTCCGTATTGAACCAAAATATTTTCTGATTCTCTCTTTCCCTCCCTCTCTCTCTCTCTCAAATGCTCCTTCTTCCCCTCCGTCTCCTTCCTTCCTTTAGCTTCGATTCTTTCCATGTTTTATCTTCATCCCTGTGGTCCCTGCTGCCTCTCTACGCCTCCACTACTGCCGCGGCCCAGGTTCTTCTCCTGACTTTAGGACCTTGCACTTTCCCCTCTCATCTCAGACCCTGTCTTACTTCCTCTGCCCTTTGAGAGGCTGAACCCCCGCTACCCGACGCCCCCTTTCTCGCTCATGCTTACTTCACTCTTATGCCCGCACCCTCGCTCATCCTCCCTCCCTCCCTCCCTCCCACCCTCCCGCTCACTTCCTCTCATCTCTACCTCCCGGCAAGTTATTCTCATTTTGTTTTCTTGAAATTGTCAATTATTCTAAAATTAAAGAATTTTGCAAAAAATGTATTGTATTCTTCGCTACATTTTCCACGTCTCATCACATTTTGTATTATACTTCTTATTGTATTATCCATTTCATTGTTTGCTGTCTTGTTTTCGAGGATAAGTAAGTACTTTTTGTGTAGTTTTTCGTACGAATTTTTGAAGGGATTGAAAACGCCTAATAATGAAATTAAATGTTTTAATTCACAAATGACCAGAAATATTGTGTATGTTGTCAGGTACATTGAGAATAACGGTTGTAATGGATAAAAATAATGAACAACACTCGAGTGCAAATAGATTTAACTCGCTCGTGAAAATTAGCCTTCGAGGCTCATTATTTTACCTCTGTGGCCCAAATTTCTAGCCACGTTTAAAATCGTATTATACTCTCTTATACCTTCCATTACTGTTATCAACTTTAATGGAATAACTTCAAACTTTACGAAACTAAGATAGACGCCATATTAATAGTAATTTGAACAGGTGAGCTAGTATTCCATAGTCTCTATTGATCTGTACAATCATCGGTTTCGTAATGTAGGTAATGTTAAAAAAAAGCGTTTAAGTTACGCATGAGCTCCTATTGACTAATCTCCAACATGTCTATCACCATTCTCAGGGCGAATAGTGAAATTTAAGCGAACGTTATAGCGCATCGGATTTTTTATAAAATGAATAAAATTTTGTTCGATAGGCAAATCATAGCATCTTATTAAATGTTCGATTGGTTGCGAAACTCTCTACTCCGCCTTCTCTGAGTTTCTCAACCCTCGCCTTCCACATTCAAATTTCATTCCTCCATTCCTGTTCCTCGTCCTGCCCTCTAAAGTAATCGAACCTTTGTCTGTCTGCCATTGCATTTTCTTCCTTTCCCCACTCCACCCTTCGCTAGCCCTCATTTCCTCCGCCGCCTAGTAGAGGCGGTAGGACGTTGACATCTCCTCCCCGTGTGTGTGTGTGTGAGTGTGTGTGTGTGTGTCTGTGTGTGTGTGTGTGTCTGTGTGTGTGTGGCATCTGGGACGGGGCGGAACCATAAAACGCACGATCGGAGCGCGCGACGTCGTTTGCGCCGACGCCACCAGGTTTACATTTCAATTTCGACCCCACCCCACCCCAACCCCGTCCACCCACAGGCGCCGTTGAGGAGATACTCTCTGCCCGGAGCACACGTGGCGAACTCCCTGACACTTGCTCCACTACTTTGACTGTATGATTACTTTCTGAGCCTAGTCTTCACGCATTGGGTTGCATTGTGTTCCCTTTTTAGATATTAATTATTTAGATAAGTTTTCCGTAAACTCTACCTCGAATTCAGTATTAATTCTTGTCTTATACTTAACACAATCTTTAGTTCCTTGTTTTACACTATGAGAAGTTTCCACCTCGGTGTAGCCTTGACTTGATCATTGTTAGTATACGATCACTTTTTCCATTATCCGTATGATTATTTTACAAGTAGATGGACTTCAATACATAATGATACTCGGTTGTAAAATCCAAAACGTTTTTCTAATATTACGCAAACAAGCATTGTATTGTGCAAAATGCTATGCGTAATAAATCAGATTCTTCTTGTTGGTGAAATAGTATCGATCTTTCTATAAAAACCATTGAGTTCTGTGGCGTTCAGTTTCGCCCAACTCCTTCTCCGGTGTGCAGATGGCCTTGAGCGGGAGGCGGCCGACCGCGAGCGTCAGCTGTTCAGAAACAGTTGCCGGAGGGAGGGAGGGGGGAGCTCCGTCACCAGCCGAGGGAGTTGCTCTCTGCGCATGAGCAAACAACGTGATCTGTGATTGGCGCAGATTTCGAACGCATTTCCCCTTCGAACTCCTGATGCGCCGTTAGATTTCGGACGACGCCCAGTCTTCTCGCAGGTGGAAGTTTCGGGCGGTGTAAAAGATTTGTTTCGAGCTGTATTACTTTTCGATAAGCAGGTAATCTTATTTTTAATGTGATTGAAATAGTTATTATATAATTATTAAAGTGATATTCGTAAGGAGATTACGATATTTAGTGTGAAATAAAATAGAAAAATTATCTCAATGTGCTTCAAACTGAAGGTCGCCATGTTGTGGAATGACTGCTTCTCGACCGGTGAGATGAAAATAATGACGAATATTAGAACTCATTTTAGTGTGTTGTTTTCGATTTTTTATATTACTGCTGTAATCTGTTTCTTGTAAAATTTAAATTACGTTTTTGATTCCCTAACTCATGCTTTATTTTTTTGTCTCTGTTCCAGGTATGAACATCAGCTTGCTGCGTTGCTACTCTTTTCTGTGCTACTGTTGTGCTCAGCTGCTGTGTCATTTGGTGAGTCTCCTGAAAACATAAAATGTAAATTTAATTGTTTTATCATCGGTATATTCCTCGATGTTAATAGTCATCATCTCTCTTTATATAATGTACTAATAACAAATGATGTATTTAACAATTTTTTAAACACCACCAAATGAATCCCCGATAGTGTGCTAAAGCTGGATAGGGAATTAGATTCCAATCCTTCATCAAACAGGGTTAAAGAAAAAATATAGAAGTTTGCAGATTATTACACAGACAAAAAATGATTGTTGTACTTTTATATGTTAAAATACTGTTATTATATTTCTTGCGCATTTTTATATTGATAGTAGAAGGTAGAGAATAAAATGAATATAGGGATGATATTGAGCTTCTTCATTGCTCGTTTTCAATTTTAAATAGTCTGATATTATGGAAAACTGAAATTATTTATGCATGACTGCCCAGAAAATAGTCAAAATTCATATTTCAGCTACTGCATGAACGAAATCGAGAAAGAGATTTGAGTTTCAACGCATTGATATCACTCTGTTCGCACATCGCTTATTATTTTTTTTTCCTTTTTCGATTTTTGGTTGTATTCTCTCTCGGCCCCAAACATTTGGTCAATTATATGCGAATAATTAACTAGAGTTTTACTTGTGCGGTTGTCAACTTGTTGCAGACGTTTTTATCTAGTAAATTATTGATTGCTTTAGTAATAGTAATATTGGTAATATTAATGAGGGTAGAACAATCACAACAGAGAAAATACTAAAAGGAGTGGAACACACCACCTGAAATTTTTGAATGTAAAGTTAGTGACAATTGAATTGCATTTTTACAAAACTTTTTATTTTTATTATTACTATCTCTTGTACAATAAAAAATTAAATGTAATTAAATTAAATTCATGAATTATGAAATCCAATGAATCGTTACTTCAATGTTTGAAACTTTACTGATCAACAAAAAATATTGATGTTTTTCCGATTAGTCCGGTTCCTAAAATGAATAAGTTCTTATTTCTAATTGTGAATAGTTATCACGTGATTTATTTTATTTCTGAGTACAGGCTCTCTTCCTCTCTACTCTGGATTTGCCAGTTGATGTAGTGTTCCGCTTGGCTTATTTTTGCCGCTGTATTTTTGGTTCTCCAAGTGGATAATACTGAGTGATTATAGGGTTGATTTTAACAGTTCAGCTCTAGACGGGACGGTGTATACGCCCCCGAAGGGTTTGGTGCTGTAGAGAATGTATATGCTAGTGAGACGATGTTTGTGAGGAGACATGAGGGAAAAGGGGTAGAAAAGGAAAAATTGCGCGTCATCCGTTCCCTCTGCTCTGGAATTCTTCTGATCGAACAAGTCAACTGCCAGAGCAGCCAACCGCTAGAATTCTTCCCAGACACTGGCTTAATTCGACCCAGCCCTTTGGATAGGGTAAATGGTGTTGACAATGGCCACCATCGAGTCTTGCAACGTAGGACCTTCCGGTCAGCGACAAGGGTTGTTATCGCCGAGCTATCTGAGACGGTCATTCCCTTCATATCTCACAGATAGTGGAAAGCAATGCCCTGCCCACGTCGAGTATATAAGCTTGAAATCAAATGAACCAAAGTAGGCGTCGGAGCATTTCATGTAGACAGTGATAATGCGAGATCTTTAATCCGCGTGGGTGTGATTCTCCGCTGCGAAAGAGGACCCGGGGAGGGAAACAACTCCGCACTTCCGGCGCCGCGAGGGAAAGGGAGAAAAAAGAGAGCGCTTCCGGCCGAAGGCGCATAAAAAGCGGTGAATGCTCCAGAACGTCGGAAATTCCACTCGTAAGCAACGAGTTATGCGCCGAGCGCATTCTCTCGCCTCCTGAGGCGGCGCAGTGCGAATTTCGTCCGCCCGCCGCGCCACCGCCGCCAGTCCAACGCACCGATTTCTTGCCCTAAAGAGAAACACGATTTTGCTAGAGCGGTGTTCAGAGCACTGCTGGCCTGTGTTGAGCGAACGAAAACAGTAGAGCAAGCAATACCTGTCGAAAAATATTCTTTAGGAAAGTACCTGAAGAATAAAGAGGGAATAAGTTATGTCTTGAAACCTTAAAGTTAAAATTACGTTGCCGCGCTCAGCTTATAAAGTATGAGGAAGATCCTCAGAATTTTCATCTTGGCACACGTTTGATTAAGCATCATACAAATTTGAAAAAGAATCCCTTTCTTACTAATCAAATCCTAATATACTTTTGATTTATTTACAAAGAAAGTGTTTTCACAATGATAATTAATTTCAACCCTACGGCATTGTAATGCACATTGTATATAAGACCTTTGACTCAGAATGCAGACAAAATGTGTTTATTAAAAATATTTTTTCAAGAAACTTTAATCTACCTCTTTAATATAACATTTGCCGAACTACCGCAAACAGAATTACAACTGGACGACTGGTCAAAAACTACTCTTTCAAAACAATTTAAATCAGTGGTGCGACAGATCAGCTTGAATTTTCGCGTATTAGTGTTTTTTTATAATAAATGTATATTAAATTAAGTTTTTTTAAATATATGTATCTAATATTTATGAAGGCTATTGTTGATGCCGGTAGGTTTTGTAGTGGCTAGATATTTGAATTTGCCTGCTAGCATCAATCTCTTCCAAAAGTACATTTTGTTTCTTAATTTTAGGTTTCCTAATTGTAGAACGGAAATATTATTTTAAGGTTAAGACCAGACACAAAAGAAATTTTCCTGGCTCTCACCCACCCCCTCGGAATCTGAACCTCTCGCTCTCGTTTCCTACATTAGAATGACTGCACGCTGCCGCCCCTTCATCAGAAAGACCGATTGGCAGGCGCATCACGCGGTGTCCTCATCGCGGGCCGTTTGGCTTCCCGAAATTCGGTTGAAATCTCGGCGTCCCCCGAGCTCCGGCAATCGCAGCGGTGAATAGACGCGCTGGGGTGTCGGGGGCGCATTTCCCAGGGAGTCGGTGGCGTCGCCCCAGGCGCACCCCTGTCGCAAACGAGAGAGCCCGAGCCTCCGCGCCCCCGACGCAAACTTCGACCGCACAGGCGGAGGAAATCGTCATTTCCCTAACTCCCTTGCTTTGGTGCTCTACAACGTAATGCTAACTAAAGTGTTTAAAATACGCGTCACACTCTGGGGTTGGTGCGTAACTTATTTCCCCAACCGCCCCCTTCCCCTGAGGCGTCGTTCTCGTAACCTCCGCTGAACAGCGCTCGAGGGGCGGGGGGGCGCGAGGCAAAATTTCGTGGGCGAAGGGAGGGCGGAGGCGGAAGGTAAGGAATATTGAATGGAGAGGGCGGAGCAGGGCAGAGCGAGGGGGGGTGGGGGCGTGGAGCGGCAGAGATGTAGCGAAAGGGAGAAATGGTATATATTCAATACTGCCATACTTTTCGAGAGATCAGTGGAAGCTTAGAGCTGGTTCCGGGTGAAGCGATGGCCCGCATGTGGTGATACCCAGATGGGAACACCTGCAAACAGTCGAGTAGATGTGGGCGGGATCACGTGTTAGCGAAGTAATGACACCGTGACGACTCCTTGTGCCTGTTGCCGCACCATGCAATGTAATCTACCAATCATTCCAACCACATCATCATCATCAAGAGCCACCCTTAGAGCACTGATCGCCGCCCTCCAGGCTCCGCGGCCTCTGGCGGTGGCGGGAGGAAGAAGGCAGAGGGCGAGGGCGGAACAGCAGCGCCGCGTTTCGGGGGCCGAGCGCGATAAGCCGCGCCCCTCCCACTGCGCCTCCAGAAAGATCTCCGCCCGATTTATCCCTTCGCGTAATCCCTTGCAGTCTGCGGTGCTCTTCCTCTCGCTGCCACCGCCACTTCGGTCTCCTCGCGAGCGGCTAATAAACTTCTTTTGCGAGGATTCGGGACGCCGCGCACGCTTTTGCGAATTTCGGTCATTGATTCTTTAACGTCTTGCCTTTCGCAGGTTCATTGTAGGTGAAGAATATTCCTTTTCATTTTAAGCCTTTCTAGGTTCGATGAGTGGTAAAATAATTTACTTTTTAAAAGCATGTTATGCTCATGTTTTAAATGTAAAAAACTAATTTGGAAACATATTCTCTCCAGTCTAATTTTTTATGATATTATCTTATATTATCTTTAATAGTTTATTCTTTCTTGGGCATTTATCTCGTCTTGGTGATTTTCTAATGTTCTTTGTTTCTCAGTTCTCCAATTTCATTCTATTTATTATTTATGTCTTTATCTCATTTCATTTCCCTATCTTATCGGCATATTTCAGCTGAATAGTATTTTTTCACGTTTCAATTTATAAGTGCAGAAACAAAAGTTGGAGAAAAACAGCTAAAATTACAATTTAGTTTAGTTATTGAAAAACAACTGTTTGTGCTATCCTCTCTCCTCACACATACACACACGAACATGTCCTAACTACACTCATGGCGGAGAATGAGTCGACAACATAGACTCTTCCCGACGTGAGTGCTGCGTCGCTGGCGTGATGCTTCGAACGGAGAAGTGAATTACAGTAGGTGTTGGATGACGTGTTCCAACGAGAGGACAGGCAACAGCCCGCCATGTAAACTTTACTGCACCTCGTGATCATAGCAACTTGTCGCGCACGGTATTTTTGAAGCCCAGTCAGCCGCCTCCCTCCCAAATACTCCAAAAGCAGTCTGGACGGCCGTCCCCTACAATCGCCTCCAACGTAACAACGGAAGTGAAGGTTTGGGTGCTCTTCCTCATATAATTCGAGTTTACGACGATATATTGTGTATTTATTCTTATTAGTTAACTACAAAAGTTGTTAGCGAGAAGCGTAAAATAGCGTCGTTTCAGTCAAAGGTACTTGTGTGCCCAGTGCCTTTCCCAAATAGAGAACTGTCGCATGTGGAGGTGCTTGAAATGGCCCCGGAAGCGCGAGCGCTCTCTACGCTCAGCACACAACAATCAGCGCGGCCTGGCGGGGCTGCGGAGAAGCTGAGGGAAGCGGGCGGGTAATCGGGCGAGAAAGCGGTTAAATGAAGCGGAAGCGGGCTGGCCGTC